TTCAGCCTGTGTTCTCTCCTTTGAAACTGTAACCTGCTGATGGGGGGATGTTGAACTCTGGGTGGGAGACAGAGGTTAAGAGGGAAGATGGGGAAAGAAGCTGACAGAGAGGAAACTAAAAAGATTTCCAAGCACTGTAGGGCCGGGTGCAGTGGCTCATCACGCCTGTAATCCCAGCACTTTGGGAGGCCGAGGCATGTGGATAACCTGAGGTCAAGAGATTGAGACCATCCTGGCCAACATGGTGAAACCTCGTCTCTACTAAAAATACAAAAATTAGCTGAGCGTGGTGGCGCGCATCTGTAGTCCCAGCTACTGGGGAGGCTGAGGCAGGAGAATCACTTGAACCCGAGAGGCGGAGGTTGCAGTTAGCCAAGATCATGCCACTGCCACTCCAGCCTGGTGACAAGAGCAAGAGACTCTATCTTAAAAAAAAAAAAAAAGATTTCCAAGCACTGCTGATGACCCAATTAAAAGTTAGAGACCAAGAATTTCTAGTGATACCAACCCAGAGAACTGAATTATCTTTCCGAGCACAACTCAGAAATTCAGGTTGAGGAATTACAAGAAGTGTTTGAATGGTCTGTAGAACCAGCATAAAAACAACATGAGGCTCTGAATCACTGCCCTCTTAAAAAGACTTAGCTATAAGACTGGTCATATTTTGCTTCAAATTTAAACAGTATCATAGCTTAACTCAGTCTCAGTAACAGGACTACAAACTTAATCACTGCCTTACATAACACCACTATAACTCCCTTATTATCTAGTGAGATATGAGAGTAAATTGAGTAACAAAATTTTGTCATTTAACTTGAGAGTAAACTGGATGAAATTAATGTTTCCTATTATTTGATCTCATCCTCTAAATACACAGCATTAGATGTTACACAACACATCTAAAAATTTCATAGTTCATAAATTTCTAGCAAGAAACATACTAAGCATTTTCTCCTTAAAACACTTTCCAACCTATGCCAGTAAGTTTCAATATGCCAGTGAACTAAAGGAAAACGTATCTGAATACTCATTGTATCATCGTAAATCTACCTTTAACACAGAAAACCACCTATATATTCTATATATTATCATATATTCTCTCAGGTAAATAAGAAAATACCTAATTTCTCTCAGGGGGAAGAAAAAACTGTGGGGAGGAAAAAAATACTCTGGACTCTCAGAAGTAAGATTTTCTATTACCCATAGATAGCTCACTATTAGCGGCCAGGCACAGTGGCTCCTCTAATCCCAACACTTTGGGAGGCTGAGGCAGGCAGATCACAGGTCAGGAGTTCAAGACCAGCCTAGCCAACATGGTGAAAGTCCATCTCTACTAAAAATACAAAAATTAGCCAGGCATGGTGGTAGATGCCTGTAATCCCAGCTACTTGGGAGGCTGAGGCAGGAGAACTGCTTGAACCTGGGAGGCAAAGATTACAGTGAGCCAAGATCGTGATGCTGCACTCCAGCCTGGGTGACAGAGCAAGACTTCGTCTCGGGAGGGAAAAAAAAAGATAGCTCACTATTAAACAGGATAATTTTCTCACATTGGCTGTATGTAAAAGAGGGTTAGCTTAAAAATTCCTCCTCTAGGTCCCTATCTCTCACCATATGCAAAGATTAATTCAAGATGGATTAAAGACTTAAATATAAGGCCCAAAACTATAATAATCCTAAAGAATACTCAGGAAAAAAGTTTATGATTAAGAACTAAAAAGCAAATGCAACAAAAATAGAAACAGGCAAATGGAACTTAAACTGAAGAGCTTCTGCACAGCAAAATAAACTACCAACAGAGTAAACAGACAACCTACAGGATGGGAGAAAATATCTGCAAACTATGCATCTGACAAAGGTCTAATATCCAGCATCTATCTATAAGGAACTCAAACAAATCAACATGAAAAAAAAAAAACCTACTAAAAATCGGGCAAAAGATTGAACAGACACTTCTCAAAAGAAGACATACGAGCGGCCAAAAAACATGAAAAAAATGCTCAACATCACTAAGCATCAGAGAAATGCAAATTAAAATCACAATGAGATACCATTCACACCAGTCAGAATGGCTATTATTAAAAAGTCAAAAAACAGATGTTGGCAAGGATGAGAAGAAAAGGAAACAGGTATACACTGTTGTTGGAAATGTAAGCTGTTCAACTCCTATGGAAAGCAGTATGGAGATTTCTTGAAGAATTCAAAACAACTACCATTTGACCCAGCAATCCTACTACTGAGTATCTATCCAAAAGAAAATAAATCATTTCATCAAAAAGACATCTGAGCCAGGCACAGTGGCTACAACTGTAGTCCCAGCACTTTGGGAAGCCAAGGCTGAGTATCACTTGAGCCCAGGTGTTCTAGACCAGCTAGACTCCATTAAAAAAAAAAAAAAAAAAAGTCTGTGCTCATATGTTTATCATAGCACCATTCACAATAGCAAAGTCATGAAATCAACCTAAGTGTCCATCAACAACTGAATGGATAAAGAAAATGTAGTATGTATTAATATACATCATTGAATATTATGCAGCCATAAACAGAATGAAATCCTGTTCTTTGCAGCAACATGAATGGAGCCTGAAGGCTATTTATCAAGTGAAATAATTCAGAAACAGAAAATCAAATACCACATGCTCTCACTGATAAGACAAGTGGGTACAATGCATATACAGAGACATAAAGATAGAATGGGTACAGTAAGTACACACAGACATAAAGATGAAAATAAACAGACACTGGGGGCTCCAGAAGGAGGAGAAAAGAGATGAAAAATTACCTATCAGGTACAATGTTCACTATTTGGGTGAGAGATTCACTAGAAGTCCAAACCTAACCATTACGCAGTATATCCATGTTAATTATGCGCATATGTACCCCCAAATCTAAAATTAAATTAAATTAAAATTTTGTTTAAAAAACTCCTCCTCTAGGCTTCAAGATAAAGATTTGAATATTAGTAGTTATTCAAGCAAGAAGTCACAGGACAAAATAAAAGTTAGGAGACCTAGTCAACAAGTGTGGCTTTAATTATGGTCTCTATGTAGATGACTTCCAACTTGGAATCTCTAGCCCAGACTTCTCCTTCAGTCTTCAAAACCAAACTCATAATCTTAAGATCCACCCAACCAATTCCAACACCTACTCACAGCCACCACCCCCACCAAAAATCTGGCCATATCTTAATATTGGCACAACCATTCAAACAATAACCTAACACCTGGCTACTTCACCTTTCACATTCCATCCGTTATTATGTATGATAATTTTGCCTCTTAAATATCTCTCAAATCAGTCCACTTTTCCCTGTATTCACCAACACTTCCCTATTCCAAAATTTCATCATCTTTTGCCTGGAAATGCTGCAGTGGTCTCCTAATTTATGCCCTTGACCTATGACTACTGCTCCCCATCCCACCTTGCTATCACAGCTGTTCTGCACTCTGCTATACACCTGATCTTTCTGAAACACCTATCTTATCATACATCTCCTCCTTTCAAATATTTTTGTCAACTTCCCAAAGCTCCAGAGATAAAGCCCCTAAATCCTTGGCATAGCACACAAAGCCTTGCAGTCTGTGCTCAAACCACATTGGCTTCTGGGTCCTGGAAAATGCCATGCTCTCTCTCACCAACAGTATCTTTTCATGTGTTTTTCCCTCAACTAGAGGGCTCTTTCCCTCCCCTTTGCCTGATTAACCTTAAACTGTCTTCAGATGTCAGCTCTAGCATAACCTCCTCAAGGCTTTCCCAGCTTCACTGACAAGGCCAGATTATCTTACTTTATGCTTTCATAGAATATTAGCACATACTAGCTTTACTTTTATTTATATGATCATCTGAAATCTGTCTGCCTCCCTGTCTAGACCATGAACACGAGGAAGGCAGAGACCAAAAATGTCTGGGTTCACCAAGGTTTCCTTAGCACCCAGCACAATGTGTGGCACATGGTGAATCCTAATAATACATGTTCAATGAATTAAGTACCCGCTGGAATATTCACCAGACAAAACAACTACTGTTCATTAGTGACAAAACTCTACACCTTCACTGTCTGTGATGATGGAACTGTTCCATTATCTGCTCTGTCCAATGTGGTAGCCACTAGCCTAGTGTGGTTGCTGAATACTTGAGAAGTGCTAAGAACAGACGCATGGAATTTTTCATTTTATTTATTTTTAAGTCTTATTCAAAACTATAATAGTTTTCTCTTTAATTAAGATGTAAAAAGCCACACGTGGCTAGTGGCTACTGTACTGAACAGGGCAGGTCTTGCTCCTCGAAAAGCAGTAAGTTAAAAAAGAGGGTAAGGGCAGTAAATAAATTGGAGAGTTATTTTCAGAATGATCTTCGGGGGGCCTACCATGAAATCGGCTTTCTTCATTGTGCATTATCTGCGCTTTCTAGTTTTCCAGACTGTTGGGAGCCACATCACAAGCCTCTAGCATTCCAAGCCCCTCCTATCGGCTGGGGAACCCCTTTATTGCTACAAATGATTGTCCAGAGGAGGAAAACCTGCGGGGAGCCTCTCCAGACTAAGTGATCGCGCGGTGTACATTATCCACACTGCTCCCTCAGGGCAGTCCTGCAATTCAGTCAAGCTAATCTGTTCACTGTCTCCCCAACAAGATGCTCCCCAGGCAACCACTCGCTCCGCTCCTACATCGCCTTTTCCCTCCTTCAGGGCTCGACACACCCGCGGTCCTCTCTCAGCGTTTCTCACCCCCACTCACGGGGAATGCAGACTCCCCTGAACGTCTGTGGGAGTTCAAAAGGCCCAAGACCCACCGAGGGGGAGGAAACGAGAAGTCTTTGCCACAAAGCCTTGGAGACGCGGAGCAGCCTGCGGGCACCTAGGCTGGAGTCGGGGCCGCCTACTAGCCTCAGCCGCGCGCGTTTTCTCCGTCAAGCTGCGTGACCGGCGGAAGGGCGGAGCGCTCGGGACCCAGCCTCCACCCTCCACTCGCCGCGGCTCCACAGTCCTCCCCGGCCCGCCTCACCTTCTCCAGGGAGGTACGCTCGCCCTCCGAGTAGCGGTGCCTCGGAGGCGATGGCAGAGGCAAAATCCTGCCGGGGTGCGCCTGCAGCCAGGCCTTGGCCTCCTCGTCCTCCTCGTCCTCCTCGTCGTCTGTACTTTCCAGATGCTGGTGCCCGTAGTGAGAGTCGGAGTCCAACTCCCGCCCAGCCTCTTCCTGCACCTCCTCCACCACCACGACGTCGTCCAAGTTCGTCGCCGCCGCCGCTGCCTCCGCCGCAGCCGCTGTAGCCTCCTCCTCCTTCTCCTCCTCCTCCTCCTCCTCCTCCAGCTCGCCCGGCCATGGCAGATCCTCGGGCTCCATGTTGGTGTCTCGCTCTGGGCGGCAGAGGAGGAGGAGGGAGGGGGGAGGGAGGGGAAGGGGAGAGACCTGACTGGCGGTTGTGGCCCAGCGTAGGCGCAGTGCCGCCCGCCTGGGCGGGGCCGGGAGACCGCGCGCGCGTTGCTAGGGACGCCGCGCGGGGCCCGGCGGGAAGGCCCCAGGGCGGAGATTTGCGACAGGCGACGCCGCCGCCTCGCCGCCGTCACCCGCCGGGACCTTGCGAACTGTACTGTAAGCTCACAATAAACCGGGACTGGGTGCTTCCCGGGGGCGCAGAGGGCCCCGCGCGAGGACAGGGTAGTTCTCGGCTGGGGTGGAGTTTTAGCCCCTGCACAGAGAAGAGATCAAACTCTAGGACGTACCCGTTATAATCACACATGCAAATTATAAAGTTTTAAAGGTTGAGTACCTCCTAGTGTCAGGCTATATGGTGGGCGCTTCAACGTAACCGTGGAAAAGTGTCACGGGTTGTTAGATTAAGAACTGGGCACGGGCATCAGAAAGATCGGAGTGTGAATCCTGGCATCACCGCTTAAAGCGATGTGACTTTGTGTCTCCAAAACGATGATAATAGGCCATCGCATAGGATGGGTGTGATAATTAAAGGAAATAATATGAAGGACTTAGTGATAAGTTGGTTATTGTACAATAACTCATTAGATACTCACGGTTCTGTGAGATAAGTATTACTATTTCATGTATGAAGAATCTGAGGCTCAAAAAATTAATTTGCCCAAAGTTTCTTACCTAGTAAGTGGCTGACTCAGCATGCCATCCCAGGTCCTCTGTTAGTGTAGGAATTGCCCTGGCCTAGACCAACCAGCTGATAAAGGGTAACAGCGCAAATATTTATACGGATAGTACATATGTTTTGGTGGTTCGACAATGATTTTGGAGTTCTTTAAAAACAAAGATTTCCTGACCGCTTCAGGAACCTCTACAAAATGAATGGCAAATTAAAGTATCTTGAAATGCCATGTAACCAAACACCACCTGTACCCCAATAACCTATGGGGAAAATTTTTAAATTAAAAATTTAAAAATAATAATAATAATCTTGAGATGCTTCACTGTTACCTAAGGAAATACCCATAATTAAAGTGGAGTCCAGCAAAAAGTCTTCATAGTATTACCCACAATAGAAGAGATACATTGATAATGATGCTGAACCAATGTTGGTGGGGCAATTTTAGGGTTATTGCCGAGGAGGTATGTCTTACCTACCTGTCAATGACCCAATCCTGGCAAAACTATAAAGATAGAATAAGAACTGGTGCCCAGACTTGGAGTTATGTTGAACACTTCTAAATGGACTATGAGTACATTAGGGTTATTATTTATTCTTAAGGGGTTTAGGGGTTCTCCTTGCTGGAGACCTATTACTGTAATGGTAGAAAAAAATTGCTTAATTTTGTATTTCTGAATGTGAAATCTCAATGTTTATCTCCAGTAAGAGGACACACATTTCACTGATATTAAATAACTCTGTAAAGTTTTACCTTTTTAGAAACTCTACTATCTTTTTGCATCCACAAATTTCAGGAAAGATAAAGAGAACTAATAGAATTCTAAAAAATAGTTTTCAAAGCTCTCTAATTTCCGAAGCCCAAAGTACTTCTATTTGCCTTCGTGACAACAGGTCAATCCATTCTAAGACCCATAAGTTATCTCCTGAGTTAATAACAAGCTTCCTCATGTATTTGTGAATTACTTCCACTACTAGATACTACTAATATAAGCTGCTATCACTAATTGCTGCAGGGGACTTATAAGAGAACTCCTGCTTTATCAACAGCAGATAGAAGCTGCATTCTTAAAGCACCCACCTAAGCAGCCTCTGAAGTTAGAGATCTGGTCTTCTGAAAAAGCATTAGTAAACAATTTGCCTTGAGCCTCAATGCAAAAAAAAAAAAATTGTCAGGTACTGTCAACAACTGACCCAGCAGTAAAACTACAAGACATTGATCCTTGGATTCCTATTACACAACTAAAAAGACATGCATCATTTTCTCCTGGCGACCGGACATTCCATTCTGTTGGAAGACCTCAAACTGAAGATTCTTGGGACTTCCCCAGAAGCTACTGACTGCAGAAATGGGTGGTTTATACCCAAGACAATAGGACAAGATTAATTTTCTGAGTCTTGGGCATCTTTTACCCTACCACTAATCTTGCTTATTGCATTTTGACACCCTTGATTAACTAACAAATTGACTTCTCAGGGAGATAACCCTTATCTTCATCCTGTTACTTTTGACTCCCTATATTCTGCTACTTAAAATAAACAATATTTAGCCAGGTGCAGTGGGTCATACCTGTAATTCCAGCACTTTAGAAAGCCAAGGTGGGAAGATCACTTGAGACCAGGAGCCTAACTAACCTAGGCAATGTAGCAAGACCCCCATCTCTACAAACAATAAAAAATTAGCTGGGCATGGTGGCATGTACCTGGAGTCCCAGCTACTCAGGAGGCTGAGGCAAGAGAATCCTGGGAGCCCAGGAGTCCAAGACTGCAGTGAACTGTGATCATGCCAGTGGGCAATAAAGCGAAACCCAATCTCTGTAAAAAAAAAGAAAGAAAAAGGAAGAAAGGAAGGAGAAGAAAGAAAAGAAAGAAGGAAGAGGAAGGAAAGAAGGAAAGGAAGGGAAAGAAAAAAGGCAGAAAAGAAACACTTCTCTCTGGAGTGTTTTTATCAAACCATAGCTACTGCTCTTAAGGAATTGTTGACAAAATTTAATAGATGTGCTTTCATAGACTTCATCAAGTAGATTTTCTTCTGTAGGTCACTTCTGGTACTTAAGCATTCCTCACAAAATTCATCCCAAACTTCAGTCTCATAAAAATTGGACCTTGACCTACACTTCAACAGAATGTTTCCCTGAAGTCATTATAATCCTATGAGAAAAACCTACCCCTTCAGGAATAGAAACTAATATTGGGGCTATTCTTGAAACACTACTCAGGTCGTTCTCTTCCAAAACATTCCAGCCTGCTTTGGAGAAACCTGTTTAACTTCATCCAAGAAATCTGTTTATCTTGAGGGAAAGAAAGTTGGCTTGTCCCTGATGTGCTAAATAGCCATTATCCTCCCAATACAGTCTGTACTCCCCTAGGGTACTACTTCCTTATGGGAATATCTGGCTTGCACACTAACCTGTTCTTTATATTGAAGCTAACTGTTAGAGACCCTCCAGTGCTTAAAATTACCACCCCTCCAGTAGACTGTGTTTCTCTGAGAAGAACACCCAGAAACCAACCAAATGAAGCAAGCACAGAATCACAGACTACTTGGGATAACTCCCAGGAGGGATAACCGGCTCACTTTTCATGGGTATTCTGTGAATGAAATTCCCACAACAAAGGTAATACAACAAAAAAGAGGTCCAAAAGGGGTCTCTGACCTTAGCAGACCCCATCGATGGCAAAACTTCTGCTATAGCAGCTCAGAAAGCCACTTAAATTTGAAGTCCTTAGCCAGAGTTTTCATGGATAATCATATAACCCTTGATTTCTTCTTAGCTGGCCAAGAAGGAGTTTGTATTTAGCAGCACTTGTCGCCATAGTCACATACTTCAGGGCCGGTAGAGCATACTACAGAGCCAGTAGAACATGAGTAAACTGAAAAGAGAAAAGCCTCCTGGCTCCCTAAAAACAGACTCAGCTGGATTCTGGGGCATGTGTTCATTGCCAGGACTTTATAATTTGGGCCTCTGGCTTCAAGACTTTTTACAAAGATGGATAATCATTTTGTTTCTGGTAATTACTTCTTTTGCACTTGGTCGATGTATCCTGTCCACAGCCCTAGTTTCTGCACAGCCGTTGTCATATTGTATGATTCAACAAATCCTACAACAGAAAGTGTAATTAACCCAACTACAGACCACATCCTCTAGATCAGCATAAATTTAGCAATAGTGAAAATCTGAATACCATAGATTAATGGTCCTGTGGCCTGACTTTGTCTGCCCTTGACCAAATGGAGGACTCAGAAAATAAATCTAGGGTGCCAGGGAACTGATCTGACACAGGTAACTAAGCCTCAGTGTTGTCACAAGCTGGCCTGGCATTCACCATCATCCCTCAGTATTCTCCTATTGAGCATAAACAATCTCACAGAACACCAACATCACACAAGGTCTTTCTGTGACTGAAGAAACAAGACATGACAAGACCAGTTTCATTAATCTTGCCTAAAGCACATACAAAAACAACATTACTGTGAAAAATCCAAACACTCCCTTTTCCAGCTTAATTTGATTGCTGCTTTTTAAATCAATATAACTCTACCATCACTGTGTTTTTTTTTTTTTTCACTGTCACTAGGGCTGGAGTGCAGTGGCACGATCATGGCTTACTGCAGCCTCAACTTTGTTGGCCCAGTGATCCTCTCACCTCAGCCTCCTGAGTAGCTGGGAACCCACAGCGCGTGCCCACCCACTGCTCAGCTAATTTTTTTTTTTTTTTTTTTTTTTTAGGTTAGAGGATGGAGTTCGCCATGGTCCCAGGCTGGTCCTGAACTCCGAGCTCAAGCAATCACCCGCCTTGGCCTCCCAAAGTGCTTGGGGTTACCAGGCATGAGCCACTGGCCAAGCCCATCACTGTATTTTTCTTCTAGATAAAATTTGTTAAGATGGCCCAATCATGGAATTTACTCCCTCTTCTTGACAGCATCCAATTCACAGAAAAGCACTGGCCTTTTAAACTTTCCCCCTAAAATCACCTACCTAACACAAGGCAAATCCTATTAACTCCTAATAACATCCCTATACGAGGTATCTCAGGTGATCTCCCGGGGGTGTTGTGTTCTCCCTTGTTGCAATGAATTAGTGAAACCAACACTTTGTTGCTAGAGAATCATTGACACGTTAACTAAAGGAAGGCAATTACGTAA